AGGACGCTGGAAGACATGATGTGTTAAGAAATGCTACCCTCTGGTTATGACTAACAGTTTGCCATGGAAGATCCCAACCATAAATGGAGGTTTCGTTCGCTGGGAAAATCATCTATTTCTATGGGCCATCTATACCATGGCTATGTTAAATAACCAGAGGGTAGTACATTTTAATATATCTGTGGATGGATAGATACTGTAGATAGGTAGATAGGTAGACAGATCGACAGACAGATAGATAGATAATAGAAGAGAATGGAATAGAATAGAATAGAAAGAAAGAAAGAAAGATAGATAGATAGTTAGATAGATATATAGATTTAGAATGAACCAACATCCTGAAAACATGGAAGTATTCTCATGGATCGTGAAAGATCTTGGATGAAAACCACGTTGCGAATCGTCCTGTTTTGGGTCGCTTCAGCGCAGTTCGCGTCAACACCACGGTGGAAGCGACCCTCGTGGAGGCACGAAGCATGTCATGCAGCATTTCATTCATGGTCATGGGTACCCCCAGTTATCATAATTTCTAGATGGAGACAATCCATGAAAGAACTTAAATAAACCATCCTGCGATAAATTTTTAGCGCTACCCCCATGACTTGTTGGAAACCTCAATTTTTGAGCTACCCAATAATCCTATGGAATATCCGAATCAGGTTCACACTTAAGTAGTTTAAGATCTCTGCCAGTGGCGCTGGTGTATCCGTTGTGGATCCGAATCACAGTCCAAACTTCCTCTTCCTCCAAGGCTCTGGTGGATCCTGCAGAAAAAGGCCCCATCAATGACGTCAGCTCCATGACCCACAGCAGATTTTTTAGGCCCAATGACGTGAGTTCACCGTTTTCGAAAAACCTCTGGAGGTTTGGATACCTATCAGTTCGAATTCGTCAGTGACTTCATCCATGAGACCAGCACTCAGTTCCAGTGTTTGCAAACGTTCCGTTGTGGCTGTGGCTGGGCTGTTTGCAAAACCAACGTTGTGAAACCAGGGGGTGGCAACAGTGCCATGTATCTGACAGCAACGCTTTGACGTTGCTGACTCTTGATCCCTTGCGGATCCCTTGCGGATCCAACGGTGAGGTTGAAACTCTACGCTTTGCTGAAGGCTGAGGGTCAAAACTATTTGTGCAGTGTCAGCTGGGGCCTAAAATCGTGGTCAGCGTGCGTCGTGAAATGACAAAAAGAGATGCCAAAAATGGAGATGTGCCACATGACAAACATTGGCTTTCAAAATGGTACCCATACATAGCAAAAAAAATATGGCAAATTCGAAAAAAGGAAAAATGATGGAAACGTATCATCCATCCATGCAACCCATGCAATCATTGTTTTGAGTCCACCCAACTGACACCTGCACCAAGACCTTAGAACACCAGCCCTGTTGTGGGAAGATCGGCAGGACCGTTTTTTGCCGCCTTCTGTGGTAACTTCACCGGCCATGGGATTCACTTTTTTTTCGTTGCAACATTTGGGTTCGTCCAAAGCTGGAGTATACCCTCTGGTAAACATACAAAAAGCTATTGAACATGGCCATAGAAATAGTTGATTTACCCATTAAAAATGGTGGATCTTTCCATAGTTATGTAAACGTAGAAACCAGGCCGGGTACCATGGGATTTACCCCTTCGAAAGCTATGACGGGTGGCCATGGGTGGCCCTGATCCTGGGATGGCTTTGGGGCCCTGATCCCATTAGGAGAAGTTCCGGGGAATCATGGCGAGCCTGACGCCCCTGGAAGCGAAGCGCTGGCTGGTTTTGTTTTTCAGAGATTTCTATGGTCTGATGGTGTTGCAACTGGGACATGACATTGATGACATTGCCAAGAGAAAGTGGAAGATGTGGAAGTCCTGATGCAACTAGGGATAAGATGCAGAATAAGATGCAGAAGATTTTTCAGAACTTTCTGCAGTGATGTGCGCAATTTTTGTCGGGCCTGGCCGGCCTGGAAAGAACTGATGCCAGGCAGCCAAACAGGACATGAACTGCTTAGACCTCTCGGAGAGCGATCCAACTGGCACCTGTTGAAGTGCGGCAGCGATCCAAAGTCAACTCTCAACAGTGACTTTTGTACATTGTACTTTAGTTATCTTTAGTTATCTTTATTGCACTTTGGGTTTGTCTGAGAATTGGATATATTCCCCAAAATGGCCAGTTCAAAGACGATCAATCATGGGATCTGGGTACCCAGGCCTTGAAATGGATGAAATCTTTGACGTGCTGCAGTGCTGCCTCAAAATCGTTTATTCCCGTTGCAGGACCTCACATGCGGAAAAAAACACACTTGTGAACCTGTCACATGTGTCATCGGTCTATCAAATATTGCTGTCATTCCAAGTTTATGTTGATATTATCAACACAAATCAACATTGATACCAACAATAATGGATATTAATGGGACATAAATAATCAACCATGGGATATCACAACAGCCATTGAAGAAGATCTTGTTTTGAACCATGGAGGACCTGCAGCGAGTCCTAAAAACTTGTGGCGTAATTTAGCCGTTTCGCCAGAATTTTCACCCAATTTTCAGGCATGCACAGGAACTCTAAGCACATTGCGATTGCGGGGAGCAATGATGGCTTGGTTGATTTTTATTTCATTTTCTTCTATCGTCATGGTTTCCGGTTGGACTTGTTGCGACCACAAGTTCAAGTGAGATCCAACATTAGGTTGTCATCAGGTGGTACTTTGGAAGGTTTCCAACGTCTGCCATCAAGGGATGTCCTTTCCTCAAGACGTATATTATTCCCAGAATGTTTGGCAAGAGATGGCAATGGAAACAATCTTCGACAAGTCGCAAGCTTTCTACCTTGGAAGTGTTTGCCAGAACAATCATAAGCAAAGAAGGATAGGGCTTCCTTCTTGCGCACTGCTTTTACCGGAATATCTGACATGATTGCAATTGTTGGAAGAGAAGGTCTCACCAGTCTCAGGCTTGATGATGTTGATCCCAATTTAGCAGGTTAGCTGAAATACGCTGTGTGGAATCATCTTAAGGAAAAGCTGACCTGAGGGTCCTCTCTTCAGACGAGTACTTGACTTGTTTAGGCTTGCTGATAAGATGCCTGTTGCTTGATTGGTTAGCTTGAGCTCGGGTTTTGAAGTGACATTTGCTACTAAGACACTCGGCTTCCTTTGTGGTGTGTTCTTATCGCTTTGGGCATTTGCCGTGCTTGTGGAAATTGACTGCAAAAGTCCGAACAACGAAGAACTTCCCAGCTCAGAATCGTGTGTAGAGGGAATCTCGATATCCAAACCTACCACGCAGATGTGTAAGAAACAAGCCATGTCTTTGAAGCCATCCATTAGTTGGTTTCAGGATTTTCTGCAAGTTTTTTAGCGGCCATGCAACAACTTGCTTCCTCTTTGTCACGCTTTTACCGGGGGGGGGGGGGGGGGGAAAAAAATATCTGACATGATTGCAATTGTTGGAAGAGAAGGTCTCACCAGTCTCAGGCTTGATGATGTTGATCCCAATTTAGCAGGTTAGCTGAAATACGCTGTGTGGAATCATCTTAAGGAAAAGCTGACCTGAGGGTCCTCTCTTCAGACGAGTACTTGACTTGTTTAGGCTTGCTGATAAGATGCCTGTTGCTTGATTGGTTAGCTTGAGCTCGGGTTTTGAAGTGACATTTGCTACTAAGACACTCGGCCTTTTGTGGGTGTTCTTATCGCTTTGTGGCATGTGCCTTGCTTGTGGAAATGACTTGCAAAAGTCCGAACAACTAAGCAAACTTCCCAGCTTCAGAATCGTGTGTAGAGGAATCTCGATCTCCAACCTACCACGCAGAGGTGTAGAAACAAGCCATGTCTTTGAAGCCATCCATTAGTTTGTTCAGGACTTTTTTCTGCAAGTTTTTCGCGGCCAATGCAAAACTTGCTTCCTTCTTTGTCACTGCTTTTACCGGAATATCTGACATGATTGCAATTGTTGGAAGAGAAGGTCTCACCAGTCTCAGGCTTGATGATGTTGATTCCAATTTAGCAGGTTAGCTGAAATACGTTGTGTGGAATCATCTTAAGGAAAAGCTGACCTGAGGGTCCTCTCTTCAGACGAGTACTTGACTTGTTTAGGCTTGCTGATAAGATGCCTGTTGCTTGATTGGTTAGCTTGAGCTCGGGTTTTGAAGTGACATTTGCTACTAAGACACTCGGCCTTTCCTGGGTTTTGAACGGTTTTAAGATATTATGCAATGTATGTAAAATTGTGCACATATGCATTATAGATACATGCACCGTAGTATACAGAACAGAAGTGATCCATAATTATCCTATTTTAGATTTGTGGTGTTTGCAAGATTCAAAGGGGTGCTCTTTTTGTCAAGACTCTGCTTATGCAGCTTTGGGCTTGCAGGTGTTCAGTTGCACTTTGGGTTGCACATTTCACAGTGGACCGCTAGGATCCGATGATCAACATCTTTCCAGGACCTTAGGGACCTAGGGCGTCCCTGACACATCAAGGATCATCCAAGCATCGCCATCCAAACATCGCCAGAAAACAATAGTGATAAACATTCAACGGCATCGTATAAATAGCATTAAACATATATATATACATACATACTGGGTGGTTGTTTGGAAGATGGCTTTTATTTTTTCCATCATATTGGGAAGTTCATCATCCCAACTGACTTTCACTCCATCATTTTTCAGAGGGCTTGGTGGCTCAACCACCAACCAGATGATTATCAACCATCATGAACCATCATCATTAACCATCATCTTAACCATTAACAGTACCCATGACGGATCCATGTATGCTTTATATATGGTAACATGGATCCCATCAATATGCCCCCTTTATGTTAGCATATATACCAGCACCATGGATCCGTCATGGGGTATATCAACCATCATTAACCATCATCATTAACCATCATCTTAACCATTATTAACAGTATATTAACAGTATATTAACCACATATTAACCAGATATAGTTCCAGCCCGTCCTACGTGTCGTCCCTTTTTGCGTCCAGCCTGGCGTCCCGTTGCATGGCTGGTCGCAAAGTCATCAAGGCGCAGAACTGCGCGCAACGCATCGAGGCAGCCACCAGCACACGCTCTCAGGCGCCAATACAGCAACTACGAGATGTCAAAGAGATGATGTGAGATGTCTATGTACATATTATATATATAAATATATTAGTATATATAAATATAAATATATATATATATATTATATATATATATCTCTGGGTAAATTATAACGACCTCACTGCGACCGAGCCCTGGAATCATGGTTAGTAAGGGGAATCATCCCAAATGGCCTTATTTCAGGCTTGTGAATTATTATAATTTGCCCATATATATATATTATATTCATATATATATATATAATATTTTATTTATGATATACATTCTGAATACGATGTCTAATATCTCTCTATATAGAATTTTATGGCATGTGTAATACATATTCGAATTATGAGCAAGCATATATTTACTCTGGTCGCTTTGCGACAACCGCCCGCACCTGAAGCGCTTGCTTTGGTGTGGGGATGGAGATGGTTGCAGCGTTGTTTTCAGATTGCTTTTGGAAAGGAATAAATTGAGCCCATATTGAACCATTTGCACCCTTGTTGAGCCGACGTTACGCCTATGTTGGCCCCGATGTTGAACCCATGTTGAGCCGACGTGACCGATGTTGTCGCAATTTTGGACCTATGTTGGCAGCTTTGCCAATTTTATGACACCATGTTGAGTCATGTTGAGTGTCTATCGCCGATGTTGTCGCGATTTTGGGCCCTTCTTGAACCTATGTTGGCAGCTTCCCCATTTTTCTGACCTTTTCAAAAACGGGAAAAATCGCGCGATTCTAGAAAAATTTCCCCTCCAAAGCTAAAGTTACTGTAAATAACTATTGCAATTACTTCCGTATATTGTTTCCGGATCATGTCTGCACACAAAAAACGCTTCGGCACCTTCGGTGCGGGTGGATTAGTGCACATGAGTCGTTCGAAAACCCACATTCTAGAAATTTCGTATGCGGGTTTTGTCACTTTTGGGTAGCTTAAAACCTGCATCCCGTAGCATAGGACCAGGGAGGAAAAGGTGCCCAAGACCGGCCGAAGGGCCATTTTCGGGGAAGAGAAAAGATAAAAAAGGGTACAACTCCCACATGTGCAGTCTTCATGTGCAGTTATTTTCTGCTCCAAATCAGATTAAGTTGCACAACGAGGTCGGGGACATCCAATTTTTTGGGGAAAAGACTTCTGCCGCAGCAAATGCTTTGGATACAACATGACAATAAAGATGACATTCGGCAAAATATGTTTCAAAACATGATATGAAACATGATGCGAAGAATGACATGAAACATAATAAAGCAAAAAAATATAAAAATATGCATGATAAGATACGTTATGAACATATATATATATATAATAATATGTTTGTTTGTTGCGGAGGGCACTATCACTTCGTGCTGGAACCTACCAAGATATGTATGATGAAAAACTCGGCATTTTACCCACCATTGTTAGCTTTCTCCCTGTCTGTTTGGTCAACTCTCCCGGCTTCTTGTTTGTAGCATTGACCTACTTAGGAAAAAAACAAAGACCTTAGTCCTTCAATGTCCTTCATATAACAATCACCTCCATTTGGAAGCCACCAGATCCAATACGAAGGCCACGAAAATTTAAGGGGATGCAGTTGGGAAAAATGTTCATGTTCGTTTTTCACCATGGCAATATACCGAACATCATTGTAGCTAGATACTATGTTATATAAATTATATATAGATACTCTATAAATTCTCTATAATATATCATAATATATCATAATATATCATAATATATCATGATATATCATAATATATCATAATATATCAATAAATCTATAAGTATACAGAAAAAAAGTACTCACTTGGTAAGTGGAACCGTAGAACCTCACGGAACCGCGAGGTCGTGATCTCTGATCTCGCAGCGGCAGATGCGGAGAACCTTTTCGCCTTGTGTCTTCCCATCAAAGCCATGAACAAAACACATCAGAATACTCTGGTTGATCGGTGATTTTTTTGGGAGTTATACTGGCCTAATTTATTGGAGATTATGATAACCCATAGGATTGGGAAACTTATCAACCAAGTACAATGACTCAAAACATGTTGAGGGATTTGTAGCCAAACAAGGGTTAACAAAAAGTCGGCAGACATAGGTTCTTAACCAGCAATGACTATCCGGTGGTATGGAGCTCCTCGCTAAGGAGCGACCGGGTTGTATCCGTAGTAGCTGTTAGATTCGTGGGGAGTTTTTCGGAGCTACGAATAGAGCTTCCCAACCACATGATAATATCAGGATTAACCTCACAATTTCCCATTTTTTGGGGGTTAGAGATCTTGTGTTGGTGGTTGGTTCCCCCGTACAAAAGCTTTTCTGTGAATAATCGTACTTTTCTATGGGTTTGTCTGAAAACGGGGTGCAGTAGCTCAAAATTGTAATTTAAATAGGGGACACAATCATGAACCAGTAGATGATGGGGTACTGTACCCTGTTCTCAGTCAAACGAATCGGATCTCAGGGGAAACAGAGGACCAAACCCATCGGATCTTCCCTCTTCAGAGCACTCAAAGATGTTTTTTGCATCCCCCCCAAAGATAGTGAGTGTTTGAAATCCTACTGACGGATAGTGTGGTGATTTTTGCGACTTTTCATGACTTTTTTAAAAAATATTTTTTTTGATGGGTTCTGTATGGTTCGACCCTATACTTTTGCCATACAAAATCCAGTCGTTTTCAGGTATGATTTCGATGGCATCTCTTTGCTGCCTCGCGGAGGTCTCACCGATGCCCGGTCGCAAGTTTGGAGCGCTGGTCAAACGTTAAACCCGTTAAGGTTTGGAAGATTTCACTGAGTTTGAAACCAAAACCCGAGGTTTCCTAGCGCAGTTTGTCAGGTTTCCCTGGTAAACTGTTAGCGTGGAAAAGCACATGCCTGAAGTTTTGATGGCACCTCAAGAAGTTTGCAGCTCTGGTCTCGGTGTGTGCTTGAGGTATGCATATCGACATATGTATAATATATGTATGTTATGTGTATATACATGGATAATTATTTTATTTTACTATATATATATATATATAATATAATTATAATATACAAATAATATACACGTATATTATCATTTAAATTTATCTATCATTTATTTATGTGCAAACATTGTAATATGCGTAGCCTGCTTGCGGTCAAGTGCCAAGGAAGTCCTACGAGACATTGGGCTCGAGAAGGCCCGGGGACAGAGTTCTGGTGGAAGAAATTGGTTTTGTCTTGAGATTGGAACTTCATAATATCAGTTTGTAGCAATCACTAGACCATGGTAATTTTTTGATACCCTTTTTGCAGACAACAACAAACTGGTCCCGGCCACAATTTTGAGCCATGAGGACAGAAGAATATGGACCAGATTGACCAGATGGCACAAAGGATGGAACGGATGCAAAACAGCAAGATCAAGATATCTAGAGAATGAATCTCCCCTGGATTGTGGATTTGACAACCAAAAAAACCGGAGATCTTCTAGGAACCATGACGTGGTCTCTGATTCGACTTGGTCACGAAAGGAACTCGGAGCTGACCTTCCAGCTTTCGCACGCGTTGCCTTTGATTCCCATTCCGCAGAAACTTGGACCATGTCCGGCTGAGATGATGATGATGATGATGATGATGATGATGATGATGACACATAGATGTTAGCTCAATCATATTTTATGGCTGAACTTGTTTGGGCGCATGATTTTGCCGTCCTAATATGGTCCAATAGCCCGGTGGTGAGTCGAAGCCTCTCCCCGATCTGAGGATTCGCATTTCCTCTCGCCCAATGAATTCAAACAGCTCTACTACCGCTTGATGCACCGCTATCCAACTTTACTTCCAAGGTGCCGGTTTTATATGTTTTATTCGCCCGGAAAACATGAGCCGAACATTTGCTTCAAAGTGATATCAGATCTTATCAGTCATCCCAATGCCTCTTGGGTACATCGATTTCCCCAAGTGTTGGTACCATTTTGGACCGATGATTTTCGCGACAGTGGCAGGACCCCAGCCCTGAGGGTGACCGTCTATTCGGCCAAGAATTTGCCGCCTGCAGATGTCAATGGGAAAGCCGATCCCTACTGCACGATGCAGCTGGTAGGAGCGGATTTTGATGGATTTTGGGATGCGAAAGATTCGAATCTTAACCCAGGAGAAACATCCAGTGTACTAATAGATTATAGATAATGAGGATTAATGAGGCTGGGAGCGTTTTTTTTCACATTCTGAAGGTAACTCCTCTAATCCACAGAGCTTATGGGGTTGATATTACCTCAGTCGGAGCATGGAAACCATATATTTGGCCAGTCCGGGGGCCAGTCTGGATGCTGGGATTGGAGGAAAGCCGCACATAAAGACAAGGACAAGGCACTTGGAAAAGACCTTGGATCCCAGGCAGGGCTGGCGCTGTTGATCGAAGCTACCCAGAGGGTGAGTTTCAAGTGCTGCTTTTTCCATGGGACAGTTTTTTTCGAACGTGGCATCCCCTTAATTTTGTAGCCAGTTTGAGTCATTGAACATCATGATTAAATCATGATAAACCCTGAAACTTGAGGGTAGCATGCTTTCAATATGCTTTCAGATCTTTCAGTACCATATTCGAGGCACCATTTGAAATCAGCGCTTTTTTTGTCGCGGATCCAATGCCTCAAGGTGGGGCGAAGAGCTGACTGGATGCTATGCTTACCAGGAGCCGCCGGCTGAATCTGCCTCCAACTTTCGTCTGGCCTTCGAAAAAACACCACGGCCACTTTTTGTAAAGCATGGATTCATATAAATCTTCACTATGTTCAGAACGATAACATGGTTTCATCATGTTTCATCATGTTTCATCATGTTTCATCATGTTTCATGGAAAAACCACGTGGTCACGTGGGTATATCTTGTCTTTTCAGCATGGGAATCCTTGGGAATCCATGGTTCAGGAGGGCGATGATCTCCACTTTGAGGTGGTCGACTATGACAGGGGGGCCCTGCAGGGTGACCTCATGTGTAGTTGCATCGTGCCCAACAAGGAGCGCGAATCCACAAAGAAGGAGAGTTTCCCAGAAAATGGCAAGTTGAAAGAGGAACATGATGACATATGATGACTCGAACTTACTATTGCGCACGAGACGCCATGGATGATGAATTGGGCGTACAATGGCGTACATCACGTTTTTCTTCATCCATTGTTCATCCAATTTTAAGAGAAAGCCATGGATCCCAGGAGTTCCATCGGACCGGAGGCTTTGATGGTGCCTGGCCGATGACCTTGGCTCCAGAGCTGGCCAAGTTGAAGGGCTGCTGGGACTGGTGGGCCAACATGTGGCGAAAAAATGGTCAAAACATGTGGGTAAAACATGGTAAAACTGTGTTTGCCATGGAAAAAACCTGGAAAAACCCAGGTTTTCACCATTTACCATTCCCACATGGATGGTTTACGACTGTTTTACCAACATTATTGCTGTATGGTTTAGAGCTTTCCACAATACTGACATATACTGAAATGGTTTAAGACTTTTTTTTTCCGAATGTCATCAATAATTATCTCCACAGTGATGTTTTTTTTGATGGTGATTGAATGGATTTTGGAATGTGGCATGACATTTTCCACAATTCTGAAACCCTAAAAAACGAACCATCCGTTTACAAAAAAAATGTCATTTTTCAATTCATCTGTCGATGCTTAATATCATCTCCCTTTGGAGGTTAATCATGTTGATCCTCTCCCAGCGGGCACCAGTTGATCTCAGTTGATCTCAGTTGATCTCCGACGCTGAGGTTACAATCCAACCCTTCGACTCCGTATCCAAGTCACCGCCTTTCCAGAGCCTCCACCACGGATGACCATTCTCGTTCGTGGTGTCCTCAGGATTGAGATTTTTTGACACGTAAATTTGTCGATGATCTTGTCAATTTTTGTCATATATGAGGTTTTCATATTGTTTCAGCTTCATGGGATTAAATGTCTTGGGCCAATAGCATCATACATCATCTATCCCGCCAGGTCATGCTGAAGGTTTGCCTCCTGCAGATGCAAATGGCAAATCTGATCCGTTTTGCTCTCTGCAGCTGGTCGGAAAGCAGTTCTCCAGGCACGCAAAGGGCATTCCGTAACTTTGATACTTGGATTCCATGTCAGGTCCGTGTACTTGAACAACGACAATCTATATAGAATTATATAGTAAATAGATATTATAAGTTATGTGTGGATTCATCCAGAACTGGGATGTAGCCCGAAATGTCAATTTTTGATGAGAACATTATGAAAACACAGTGGATTTTGCTTCACAGGTCGACCACAACGATCAAGTCCAGAACGCTTGAGCCGGTCTGGAATGAAACCCTGACAGATAAGCACAGATACGCGCCTTGGCTGAACATGTTGCTTGAGATGAGTATCATTGATTTGTTTGAAGAATTAAACTCTATTCTGTCTTTCATATATGTTCTAACATATGACTATAGTGTAATATCTATTTGGTCGTCCGTTGGTCATTCCGAAAATTTTCAAAAGAACCACACGTTTTTTCAGGATCCATCCGTGCTTTCGTGACAGGAAGCTGGAGATAGCCTTTCGATCAAGATCTGGGACTACGACAAAGCAGCGAACAATGACCTGCTTGCCGAGGGCATTCTGGATGGCAGCCACTTCCACAAGCCAGGCGATGGCAACGGCCACGGCCATGTGGTTATGTGGCTGTGCCCACAATTCCTAGGTTTGGAGAGGTTTTTTGGGAAGCTTTGGAGGAAGCAAGTGGGAGCATACCATAGGACCATAGTATATATCTTACCATAATATCTTCCAGTTTTTGCAGAGATCTTCAAGCCCCCAGGTGGCTTCGATGGGGAGTTCAATCTGCAGAGCTGCGAGCCAAAGTATTCACCCGTGATCAGCATCAAAGTCCTGGTTCGCGAGGTGGAGGAGGCCAAGAATTTCGCCAAAAACTGGAGAGAAAGAAGAGCCCTTAATAGTGGTTAATAGTTGTTAATATACTGATAAAATCATGGGAATACAATGGTTAGTTTACTGATAGTTATGGTTATCATCATGGTTTAACACTTTCCATTGTTGGATTATTTGGATTTGGATTCCCATGTTTGCCTCAGGACATCCCTACTAGGCATGTCACCATTTTTGCAAGTCTTCTCTTGAACGCCCAATTTTCGGGGTAGAGAAGTCCCTCCAGATTCGCAGGTAGAAATCTTTTTCGGGCAGGTGTCAACGCAGAGCAGCGATTATCCTGAGATCTGAAGTATATCTCGAGGGGGTTTGTACAATGTTTAATGAGTTTAATGTTTGGTTGTTGGATCCTCATTGTTGCAATCTTCTTCCTGCTGAACTGAAAGTCCCAATTTTTGGTGACAAGTTAACCAACGGTTGCAGGATAATCATCTCTATCACTAGTAGATCCCAAGTGTTTGCCCTACCATGAAAATAGCATAAAAAACACCATATATATATTATATCTATTTCTGTAAGTATTTCTACAAGTAGATTCCCCAATATCCCAGGCGGCAGCCGCAGTGGCCTCTGCCACAGCCTCTGTGGCTTCGGCCGAAGAGCTGGTGGAGGAGGCAGAGGCTGCCTAGGCCGTTGGGCGGGGGCATGGATTTTCTGTGGATTTGAAGTGATCTTTTGATGTTGAGATTTGTATTTTTGATTTTTGGATGATTTATAACTTTTCCGAATTTTGATTATTCGAATGATTTTCTGAATGATTCATAATAATAAATATATATATATATATATACGTATATATATATATTATATATATATATGGGAGAGTTGAGCTCTTTGAAATATGGTGGGATATCATTGTGAACGGGGAGATACAGCTTGTATGATGAAGCATTGGGGGATTTGATTGGGAAGAATTTGGATTTTGTCGGGTTTCATGAGGATTTAGTGGGATTCATCGAGTGGGTCTGTGTGAAAAGCTTGGGAAAATTATGGAAGAAACTATGACGAAACTATTGAGAAAGCACAAACCTCACGGTTTCGCATAGCAGTTTTTGGCACAGAACCAATTGAACAGCCAAGCACAAGGAACTGCACAGGTAGGCCATGCAGTCCCAGCCGTGCGCCTTCAAGAGCTGCAATGGCAGCAGTCCAAAGCTTTCTGATGTCGAGAAGCCTCCGACGTGTCACAGGAATTGTCTTTACTCAACAAAGACAGAATCCAACGACATCTAAATCATTCTAAGTCCAAATCCTAGAATTTCCCGACAGAAAGTGACATGCTCTGGAAAGTGAATCTTACGAGGTGCGTTCCAATGTTCCAAGAACTAGGAGGCCAAACTGCAAACAGTTTCATCAACATTCCTGTTGCCCAAAGACAACTAATCACATGGTCCGCCTGCTGGCATTACATGGCTTTGGGCAAAATGCTGAGCTCTTTGTGCAGAAGCGGGCGAAGGACCAAAGCAGCTCATTCCGAGAAATTGGATGAAGGGAACATGCACGAAACTCCAATTCTTTTCTGAAAACAGAGAAGGGTCCCCTGATGTTCCTTGTAAACAGTCCAATGATTCATTCTTTTCAGTTTCATGATGGTAGGATGCCTTAAAGGCTTTAATGTGATACTGTAATGGCAGTTTTCAAGAATCTTCCATGTTTGGGCACAGAGTTCATGACGCCACACTTGAGGTGTTTGTTGATGTTGATGTCCAGCAGAATTTCAGCAGCCAGAGTTGGCACATGTTGATAGAAAAAACCATGATAAACTATCTGACAAACCATGTTCATTTGGGTATGGATCAATACCTGTTAATACCATTTTTAGTGGGATGAACATCCATTTACCAGCTATTTTGATGTTCACCAGGGGTACAAGGTTTTGACACACTGCCATTTTGAATCATTATGGCTCATTTTCATGGGCTCAAAAAATCATGTTGATTCCCGTTCTTGGTCATTTTCCAAGGTCCCCCTTTCTGAATTGCCCGGAAAAGTTCCGCTCCAGGAGCTCCTGCGGAAGCTGAAGTCCGTGGCTTCAGTGGTGGCCATTGATGCTCCCCATAGGCTTCCCTATGACCCGTCCTTGCGGGGTTGGTGCCAAGGCTAAAGTCGGGCACGTTATGATCTGGGTGACCCAACGGTTGTGACACCTTAATTATGAGCCTGGTTGGTGGGATATCATGAGGATATCATGGGTCTAGATGGTGAATATTACTGTAATACTTAGCATATATAATTAATTATAATTATATATATATATATCTTCATAGATACTCGATGGTTTAATGAGTTTAATGGCCTTCAATTGTTTAACTGACAGGCTTCGCACACTGGCGAAGCTGCCCAAATCCAGACCCACAGGTTGGGACCCCGCTTAATCAAAAGAATTTCTACGTGACGTCTTCCAGCATTAGAAAACAACATTGCCACTTGCGGTGTTTTAAACAGTTGCATTCAAAAACCACTAAATATAGTAATACCATACCGACCGTGCCATTTTTTTGCATTGTTTTGCACTCAGAGGGGCGACAAATGCTGTTATTTACAGTGCCGCATAAAACAATGTCATTGCCAAGACATCCAATACCGTAGATTGGACCTTCAAACCAGCATATAGTACCCTCTGGTAATGACTAACATAGCTATTGAAAATGACCAGTTATAGTGGATTTTCCCATTAAAAATGGTGATTTTCAATAGCTATGTTAAATTACCAGAGGGTAGTTTAATTTCTTGTGTTTTTCGGCTTCCATGTGAAAAAGATGTTTTCGGCGTTCCTTCAAAAAAACTCTGCTTTTCACCCGCTCCCTTCTGCCCGGACGGCGACGGTAAGCTGTGGCCACACGGATGGCTTATCTATGATATCATATTTCTGGAAGATGAAGCTCCATTCGTCAGTTTTTTTTGCTAGCTATTTTGATATGAGCAAAAGGGTACCAGATGGTACCAGGCTTGTGACCCATAGCCAGTTCACTATAGGATTGCTGTAATCCGATATCATGATCCTTAGCAGCTTCCAAGGTGGGTCTATGACAAGGACCTCTGGGATGGTACAGCTGAGAGCATCCAGTCCTTGGCGGAAGATTTGTTGCAAAGATCAACATTTGAGCCAGTTGGCCTTGACGAAAGCTTGGCAATGGTTATGAACGAATCTTGTCTGAGACAATCTGGATATATCTGAAACATATTGACAAATTGACAAATCTAGACATCCTTTTCCAGACGGTATGTTTCCCAAACTTTCGAGAGTTTAGCTGAAAAGGCACCTTCGGTTGGGGTATCCTGGGTATCCCTTGCTTTTGGGCGTTCAGGAATGGTCCAAAGGCGGCTATGACGCAATCTTGGGATTCTCACAGGGTGCCATTCTGGCAGCAGCACTTTGCACCCGACTGCTGGAGAAAGGGCAACCACCACGTTTTGCGATTTTCCTTTCTGGCTTTGGCAAACCGAAGCCTGCAGGTGGGTTTCTAAATTACTAATTAGTACGTTCAAATACTTTTACCATACGTATGTTCAATTGAAACTTATTGTAAAATGTTTGTTGACACCCAAACTTCCGAAGCCTACAATGCCTACAATTTACTTTCTGTTGCTCAGAAAATGGTGTCAATTTACACGTCCAGACTTGTCGCGAGGTTTTACATTTCCTGAGAGCCCAATGCCTATACCGAGTCTGCACATGTGGGGAGATGCTGATGAGCACATACCCTCATGGACCAGCAAAGTGCTTGCTGAACGTTTTGACAATCCACAAGTCCATGCCCATGCAGGACCCTTGCTGCCGTCAAACTAGAAGTAGAGAGAGTGCCTTGTCTGTCTTGTGTAAATATAGATAATATAGAGTCTAGAAATCTTTCTGAGTGCAAATCCAAAGTTTTGTGGACAATGTCTGTTTTCACGTGCAAAAGACTCCCAAAACTTTCTCTGTGAGGACATCACATCGTTCCCCAGAAGGCCGCAGATGTGAACATCATTCTCAGCTTCATTGAGATGATCGGCCAACCCAAAGCGACATCCAATGGCATCACCAAAACAGGTCGGTGCATTAACAATGGCATCGACCATGGTTTTTGCAGTGGCTCAACCATTTGAACATGCTTTGATACAGCGGCCAAAAAAAATTGGCCCCCAAAATTGGTCAGTTGATGATCTTGATGATCTTCCCCAACGAAATGATGATATTTGGTGATATTTGGTGATACAGCCGTTTACAAAGCCACAGTATCGACAGGTGGCCCCGCGTCGCCTGGTTACCCAGGGATCCCCTGTGATGAGCTCGTCGTCGCGTTGCGCCGCTACTCTGCGCCGCGGCAGACGGCCTATGCGATGGAGGAGTTGGAGCATCCGGGGACCGGAACGTATGAGAGGCAGCAAGAGTCATGGGGGTTTCATAGTCATGGATCCCCAATAGCTAGATGCTAAAAATGACAGAAAATCCCATCTATAAACGGATGATCTCTGGGGGTAGCCCTATTTCAGGAAACCCAGGATTCAAACAGGAATAACTATTGGAAATAGCAGGGAAGACTTGGCCGGATTTTGCAGCACTTTCCACCAACATGTTTGTTCCCAAGATTGTGATTGTTGCCAGCAAAATGGAGATTGAACCAACAAACATTGCGATTTTCCAACACGAAGTGACAGGGGTCAGAGACATGGTCCTGCTGCTCAACTTGTAGTTGGATGATATGTTGGATGTAGGTAGCACTATACTGTGAACCACAATACAATAATCCACAAAAAATACAAAAGTCATTCACCAGTATGTTTTAGTAAGATTTTGCCAATGTCTACTATGCTTTGGGTTCATATTGCATATCTTATGTTCTTTTGCACATTAACGGAAGTCCTAACAACGCAGGCTGGTGGCTTTGCTTCTGGGCAAAGACTATGCATCAATGAGCCACGGAGCCTGTCGAACCTCCGAGGATGCCGTCAGAGTGAGACTTGCAGGTGGCTGGCAGGAGCTTCAATGGTGGCAGAATGTAGCAGATGTTGTAATATTATTGATTATATATAATGTTATAATTAATATACAATATGGCTGTGTCTTTTTTTAACGTGTGCAGATTTTAGTAAAGGCAGGATGTTCGAGTTCTGCGAATCATACCCCCGAATCATACCCCGAATCATACCCCCGAATCATACCCCCGATTCATACCCCCGATTCATACCTCCGAATCGTACCCCCAAAAATCACCATTATGAATGTTTCTTTTGGAATCGTTTGGGATTGCATTGGCCTCACTAGTTTTAATGGACCTGACAAGCTGATTGACCGGTGTTGGCCAGATCCGATGATCCCTGGCTACCTTCACATACCTTCACGACATGAGTGGTGAATCTTCTCCACGCGCACGGAGTCTCATCATTATCCCTAAACTGGCTGGCTCTGGGTGGCTGGGTGGCTGGCTGGCTGGCTGGCTGGCTGGCTAGGTGGCTGGCTAGTGGCTAGGTGGCTATGGCAGTTGCTGCTGCTGGTCGGGTGGCTGGCTATAGGGCTGGCTAGTTGCGGCAGGCTGGTTACGTGGCTGGCTGCTTGTTGTGTTGTCTGATGAGGCTGATGAGGCTGATGAGGATGGCTGGCCGGCTGGCTGGCTAGCTGGCTGGCTGGCAACCAAAACCAAAAATCCGTCGAAGAGGAACATTAGCCTAAGCGTAGCTGAGCTAAAGGTACATGAGAAGAACATCCAGAAGAGACGGCGGCAGGCCGGCGGATATAAATCATAGATGTGCATTTAGATCTTCATATTCTTCATATTCAGGTCCTGTCCAAGGTCGTCTGGCAGGTCGAGCCATTGCAGCCATTAAGTAGCAATCGTGGTAGGTTGACGGTGGGAAAAAGAGACCGAAGCAACAAAGCTTCCTGAATTCAAAAAAAATGGGTTTCCGAATCATGCCCCGAATCATGCCCGAATCATACCCGAATCATACCTCAAACTTCCCAATTCTGAACCTCAGTACATTTGCAAGATCAGAACTTGTGTTTTGTGAGCATAAATCTTTTCTTGGCAACCATTCGCCACGGGCTACACTACGCCTCCTGCTGCTTCTGAGAAAATCCGACAACAGCACCCTGCAGCGGCATCCTGCAATGGCACCAACATGCCAACTCCAAAGCGCACACACACCACTTTAACTGCAGCACCTTGAAGCAGCACCCTGCAGCGGCACTACCAGCCAGTTCCAGAGCGGACACGCCACGCTAACAGCTGCACCCTGCAGCGTGCAGCAGCACCCTTCACTAGCACCCTTGCAGCACGAGTTGGGTACAGTACGTACCCTCCTTGCAGCACCCTCAAGCATCACCCTTGCAGCAGCACCAGCAGGCTAGCTCGACAGCACCCTCAAGCAGCACCTTCCACCGGCATCCGCTCACCAGCATGCCCGCTCCAAAGCATGGTTTAAAGATGTGTAAAGCACGCACACCACTCTGACAGCAGCACCTTCAAACATCACCCTCAGGCAGCGCCTGCAGCAGCACCCTGAGCGCCACCAGCATCGCTCCAAACTGTACACACCACTCTGACAGCAAGCAACACCCTGCACCAGCACCTCGCAGCGGCACTCCAACGGACTCCAACGGCACCACCATGCCCGCTCCAAAGCGCACACACCACTCCGACAGCAGCACGCACAGCGGCAACAGCATGCCAGCTCCAAAGCGCTCCACGTGTGGTAAAATTACCAACATTTGAAGCATTTTGGGGGTAGGTGTGGGTAAATAACCATACGTGGAGGATGCAGGGAAACACTAAATCAAGGTCCGCGAATCATACCCACGAATCATACCCCCTAGACAAACATCCCGGACTGCATGCGGCATTTTGAGACATACCCATACGGTAACGACATTTAAATATGTGGAGGGCGGGCCAGACCCCGAGGCTCCAGAGGTAGTATCAAATACCAGTTCGTATATTTAAATGTAGTTGCAGTAAGTTTAAATGAATTGGATTCCGTATGTTTAAATGGCTGGGCGGGCCAAGGAAAACCTTCCCGGAGTTAGTCTAAAATACCTGTTCGTATATTTAAAAATCCGTATATTCAAATGTAGTTGCCGTATATATATATATAATATACACATTATATTGTGTCTCATACTAGGATCAAAATAATACTTATTTTGTATACAATTATGCACTCTACAATATATATCATTATATATACAGTATATTCATTGTTTTCAAAATTATACCCTTTGAAGATCTTTCGTCGCCACTTCCACAAACGGACTCATCGCCAGGATGTGACTCTCCACAGCGGCGCCAAGGCGATGTTGCTGCGGACGCCCACGGCCCAGTGGCTCCTGGCCGTGCTGCCGGCGGATGTCAAGCTGAGTTGGAAGAAGCTGCGTGCCATGCACGGCAAGGGCACACGGATCGCCACCGAGGAGGCCGCTGGGAGATGCTGGGAGATGCTGGGAGTTTTGGGGTTCCGAAGTCGATCCCAATAGCATCAATAGCTGAATGGTTTATGGATGGTTGATGGATGGTTAATGGAAAATCCCATCGAAATGGATGATTTGGAGGTACCATGACCTAGGAAATCTTCTTAAATGGTGAACCTTGGGATGCAAAAATTCGGAGGGGACAATGATGATCAACGGCCATTTTTCCAGGATCGTCACATTTTCCAAAACCATGGCCACCAGAGGAGGTGGTTGAAGTCACCGGATGCTTACCTGGTGCAGTGCCACCCATGGCTGCGGCATTTCCCCGTCAGGCATGGGGTGCGTTGGATGTTTTTTGGAACGCACAAGTGACACATTTGGGTTTGTCTGAAAATGGGTGATACCCCCGAAATCGCCATTTTTATGGAACAATGAAAATAATCCAATTGATCAGCTATTTTTATAGGCTCATCAGCGTCCAATGATATTCTGTCAGGCTGCTGTCGTAGCAGATGTCACTTTGCCAGAGGTACCTTAGCCCGCAGTCAAGTTTTTGTTACTTTTGCTTGTTTGGGGCGCTACAAAGGCAACTTCAATTGTGGAGGTTTGATGCCAACTTTCCATGTTTTTTTCTGTTCAGCAGAGGCATAGACTAACAGATATATCCACCTACCATTGCCGCCCAAAGAGAGCCAAGGTGATCAACTTTAATTGTGGCTTGCGGACCCGGTCCATCCAGATGAAGAGACAGTGCTATGAGTCGGTGCAGCCTGCAACCTTTGCTGACATCATCGAGTGACTTTCAGCATCTAGCCCAGCGCTGAGCTGATACGCGATTGCGTAGAGGAGGGCAAGTGCTGATGGAAAAAAACGTGGCGAAAAAGATGCCGAAACACCAATTTTATTCTGAAAGATTCAGGGTAGCAATATCTGAAAAACGCACATACTGTATGAATGATAATGTATGTACCAGTATGTGTCATGTCCAATGCTCAAGGGATGAAATACTGGCTGCCCAAGCTGCTCCACTGAACGCTCGATGATGCAGAGGATACCTGTTGTTGTTGATGATGTGATGATGTGATGATGATGATGATGATGGTGGTGGTGGTGGTGGTGGTGGTGGTGCTCGTGCAGGTCCGTGTCAGGTGCATGCAGAGCACACAAACATATGTGCAGACATTATTATATACACAGCCACGTGCAATTACTGTACATGTACATATACACTATAAGATAGTTATTCTACACACATTTTTAACGACATTTTGTGTTTGAAATTGTGGGCCCGCAAATCTGGAGGTGCTTTTCGAACCGCGAATCTGACAAATCTCACCCGGCGTTTGAGCCGAGCAACGAGTCAATGCTGGCATTCGCTTAGTCCAAGACGGACTAGGCCAGAGGTCCAACCTGACTTGTAGACCATCAGTTCGTCTTTTCATTGAATTTGAGCCAACTTGTCTTCTTGAGCCAAGCCAAGATTTAATTTCCTCGCTTCCAGTCTTCCAGTCCCCGGATGTCTGTGTGCAGATTCAAAGCCACGGATCGTGGTTTGTGCAATAAATGTGTCACACTGCAGTCTGGAAGAGCACCAAGTTGAAGCCAGTGAAAGATCCTGAAAGGCCGCTGCTTCCAGACTGCCGCAACGTTGAGAACGTGGTCATTTCGCGAGTCAAAAGGTATTGAAAAAGGGGCTTCCCGACATTTCCGACTCATGTCCCGACTCTGCCAGAAGAAGATGTCGGGAAATTGCCTTGACATAGTGATAGTGTGCTGTCACCCCTCGGCACCGATAGCTGAATCAAAAAAAATCAAGTCAGAGATCATCAAGTCAGCAAGACAGATGCGGAAACAACACAACAACATCACAACCACAGATAACATATCAATCTACGTTGATGGAACTAAAAGCTTTCAAGTAAAAAAACAACTCTGTAGAGTAGAGACAGAAGATCACAGAAGGATGTTTGGTGATGTTTTGCAATGGTAGGCAAAAAAGGAAGCACCATTTAAGCAGAGCCAAGGTTTATCTCTCAAATGACATTATCTAACATCGCAATTCAGACTTAGGGCGCTGGGTGCTGAAAAAACCGACCGGTTACCCTCCCGAAGCCATGGTCAAATCCTCATAGTTTTCCCATGTCTCGATGGTCGCCTGTTCTCTCGCCGGCTGATGCGCCGGAACGAGCAGAGTGAGCGCATTGTGTACAGGACGAGAACTTGAGTCTGTTGAGATATAGGTTTGGTACCTGATAATGATGAACAAAAACGAAAAACCATCCACTGGTCCATGATCACTTTCCCTACTCAACTGGTAATCTTGGGGGAAAGGTATACCCCAGTTGCAGGCACGCCAATGTTGAGATGTGATGACGCAGATGTACTGTCAGTTGACGTCAAAGGTAAGATTCTGTGCAGGACTGACTTTGACAAGACGCTCGACTTGAGTTCCAAGACATTTTTTCATTGCATTTCACAAACTTGTGTTTTTGATGCCGCCCGAATCAAGCTTTTTTTAACATGGCCCACAAACATAATGCGGGCCCAGGTATGTCTTGTGGAGAGCTCAGGATCCAGGAGATATGTAGGTCAGCTTGTTGCGAGGCTGACAAGTCGTGCCATCTTTACCCTCTGGTAAACATGCAAAACACTATGGAAAATCACCAGTTTTAATGGTAAATCAGCTATTTCTATGGGCCATTTTCCATAGCGAACTGTTAGTTTACCAGAGGGTAATATGAAGTGCATCTGTGGAAGCGACTGCCGCAACTGTCTTGAACAGCAAGTCGCTACTTGATGGAGCGTTGATAAACACCTATAGTTGTTTAGGAGTTCTTTAGTATCCTGACTAATTACATCGAATTACAGAACTTCCTCAAATTCACTGACATTATTCTATATCATTATCCACCTATATCCAGCTATATACCCTCTGGTGAACTAACATAGCAATGGAAAATGGCCATTTATAGTGGATTTTCCCATTAAGAATGGTGATTTTCCATTGGTATGTTAGTTCACCAGAGGGTAATTATCATTATACGGCTATATCAAAAACCTATATTATTCCACCTATATCCACCAGTATTTGACGACCAAGTCATGTCAACAAACTGCTGCAATGACGCCCATCACCACCTGCGGCGTGGCTCCGATGCAGGACCGCCGTTTCTGCAACATGTCGAGCCTGAGATTCCCATATGCGAAGCATGGTGCTGGAATATGAATCCCAACATTTGCCCCATAAATACATGACCCAGTCTTGTAGGTTTTTATATACCAGCACCATGGAGCATATGGGATTTGTTAAAAAAATGCATTTCAACATGTTCAACGGAATTCTTTGCAACTCATAGCCATTGCCAAAATCGCATTGTGCCGTGTGCACTGCAACCTGCATCCCGCGAGCATTACAATTCAATTCTATAGCATCGCCTCCTACATTGGTGGCACATCGCCAGGAACCTTGACAGCATTTCAACGCAAATGTCGGGGTTTCCTGGGGAATCCCCCATAGCTGGATGGTTTATTTCATAGAAAATCCCATTCAAATGGATGATTGAAGGGGTACCTTCATTTTAGTAGATGGCAACATTTGCAGGAAACCTTTGTTTTTTTTGGGAGAAAATCATGCGGTGAATTTGCGCACGAATCCATTGAGTCAATGGTCGTGTTCTCAACATTTCCTGCTGATCCTGTCCTGCGTCAACGACTGAGGAGAGGTATGAGCATTGAAGTGACGCTCAAATTGTGGCTTGGTTTCAGTCTAGAATCTATATATATATATATAGTTGAGGTTCGTTGGTCTTCAAAATACTGATATGTACGACAATTGATGGCAATTGCATGTCATATGATTCATAGGGAACTGATGTGACAGCTTACATGTGACCGCCTTCCACTTGAGGTTTAGCCCCCAAGTCCTGGGATACCACCTTGAATGTAGTGAAATCTCCCATGTCCCACTCCCTGCTGCTAAACTTTTCTGGAGCTCCCCAGTCCCATTTTGGGTACCCGACATGAGCTGTGTGGGCACATCCCATGACAATTTTGGGGCGCCCCATAAGTGGATAGGGGTCACATGCCCCAAACACTGTTATTTACGAGGTTTCAGGCATCTGACCCCTTTCCACTCCAAGACTTGAATTGCTCTTGTGGCATCTTGTGGCGACCCTTGGTCTCAATTTCTGTGGGTTGCTCTCTTTAGGATAAGAGATTTGGGAAGACCATGGGAGCCCCAAAACATAAGCTTAAACAAAAATCCAGATTCATGTGATGGCAATGATCGATTTTCAAGGGATTTCACTGCAAAAACCAAGGCCCACAAAGGCTGAGAATGGTTAAGAGTCATTTAGAGTGACTTAGAGTGATTTAGAGTGACTTAGAGTGATTTAGAGTGACTTAGAGTGATTTAGAGTGATTTAGAGAGATTTAGAGAGGGTATACATGTCAGGACACATATGCCAAATGGATAGGGGTCAGATCTCTTGGGTCACATCCGCCTCCTATGAATGATGTTATATATATATATATACGGTAATTATATAATTATAATTATAGGTGATCTTATGATGCATCTATCTATACATCTTGAATATCAACTCTGTATTGATATTCAAATATATTCAAATCACAGAAATGAAGCCCCAAGAAGTTGCAATCCGGTGAAAGATCCGGAGGCAGAACCGGAACATGTTGATTGTTTTGCCGAGTGAATTTGCAGGCTCAGCGGCGAAAAGTTTCAGGCTCTCGAGGGGTTCATCTTGATAGAAAAGAAGGGTTGATGAACCACCATGAACTGTTGCCATCAGCACAAGTTGCAGACTTTCAGCTTGACTCCACTTGTTTCATCACTGAATAAAAACGAACAGTGATAAAGAATATCACAGTGAGATACTGGCTATGGCTCAAGATTCATTCAAAATCTCCGAAATGGATAGTTTCAGACACAGAAAGCATTTCCGAGCATCTTCGTTTGAGTATTTAAACCCATGGTGACTTTGGGATCCATCATTTTCGGAGCCCCCATCCATGTATGTATATAATTTTATTATGTAATATATACAATATCATATATCCATCATATATACCTGATATATACATCATATATATATATATACACATCATATGTATATATATATATTATATTATATTATGTATTTGGATCAGCATTTTTTGGGAGGTCAAGGCGAACCCCGAAGAGAAGATCTCAGACCTGAAGGCCAAGGTCAGCGAGGCCGCGACGAAGGGATCCGCGGTCGAAACGCTTCGCGCTTCGCGCCGCTGGCGGGACCAGGGGGCTGGATAACCCTATTGAAAACCAGTGAAAAACATTCAAAACCATGGAAAACCATGGAAGACCTAAGTTTTTTCGGTAGGGTAGATCTTTGCAGAATCTGTCTTTGATATTTTTGGAACCCATATTAGATACTTTACCACCACGAAAACCCATAGATACAACCTAAACAATACCGAAATACTACCAACGCAGTAGCTGTATCTACGTACCTGTACGTACTACCGAAGTACTACCTATGGTACTACCAAGTAATATGTGCCCCCCCCACCCAGCAGACACCCTGAATACACCGTTTACTATTGAAATTAGATGCATACATTTTTCATATACTAGCTACTTTCAGCATACAATATACTTCCTGTGTACGGCCCGCCTACTGCCTATTTTAAGGCCTCGGTCATGAACTCATTGAAGAATGTAATCAGTGATAATTCGTTCCTGTGCTATTTGGAATTCTTTGAGACACGTGAAAGTGAAAAAAATAGGCATCCACAATTTTT